ATAAAATATTCAGTAATGCAGTTAAAATTCTCCATTACAAAAGAACATTTTTCAGATAATTTTATACTGTTTTATATGTTTAAAAAAAATAAAAAAGAAACCTGTACCATCACAACCCTTGAAGGGTGCTAGGTGCAGTACTATATGAGGAAGTACTGTTACAAGGCCAACGGTTGTGCAGGGAGGTGACGGACCAATATCACGCTCAACCGCCAGGTTTTTCCCCTTTTAATTATCTTTTTAATTAAGGTTAGCCACTTTATAGAGGCTTTGTGTGCCCCAAGAGGGTCTCATGATCCCAGGATCGATCCACGGCTAATGAAAAATTACTATTCATTTATCGGATTCGAACCTAGGACCTTGAGCTTTGGAAGTCAGTGCTCACCCACTGAGCTACCCCGCTCCCATTATATGTTTTAGTAGATCAATATATTTTATACCAATGACAGTCTCGATTTTTATTAAATTAACTTTATTTCTATAGAATACAGTGATGTTAATTTAAAAAAAAAAAATTACATTCGTCATGTAATTTTCATTCTCACTCCGTATCTTATTCTCTAATTTAAAACTATAGTAGATAAAATTTATTTCATTTCAATTTACTTAATTAACAACTAATTTTAATTTTTTTTTAAATTAGACAAAATATCAGACGAAGAGCAAACTCTGTTCCAATCTACTATGGTTTTAAATACTTTAAATAAGAGAATAAGGCACGACGTCAGAATAAAAATAATTGCATGACAAATATATATATATTTTTAAAAAGTATGTAACTGTTAATTGTTAAAATTATTATTGATTGAAATGTGTTGTATTATAGAGATAAATATGGTGCAGATCGCCGAAAGATTCTCTTTTTAAAATAAAAATAGAGACTGTCATTAGTATAAAAATATCCTGATCTACTAAAAAAACCCACCTTTTTGCACAAGTGATAAACATCCAGATATCCAATTGTTCTAGAAATGGACAGGAGGTCGGTACCAGTAATGGACATACCTCAGAAAAATTTTATAATGTTTATTTATCTACCAAGATGCCGATAAAGATGATATAACATGAATATTCAACTTACTCTTAGCAAAACTGTTAGTAGGTATGAAAGGTATGAAACACACTGATCTAGAGCACTATAGAAACAACAATGATAGGCATTTAAAATTTTCTTTTGGGAACTTTGTTCATATAGTTGGAGTCTTTAAATTAACAAGGAAAGTTACTTATTTACATTTAAAGCCCAACCTGTCCATCAATGGATCCCCTGTCCATAACTGGTACGTTCCCTCTAGTGCATTACAGATAAAATGAGAAGAATAACAAATATTTTTTCTTGTGTTGACGCTTCGGCCTAAATTCATCATACGCCAATCATTCGTATGAGTTGCCAAGATGAAGGCAATGAGACTTACAGCTATAAAATGAGACAGTGCCATAAATTTTATCGCTTCCAAAGCTGCAACTGCCACAGTTTAACTAGATCATTTACCCACTTCCTTTAAAAATATATGATCCTTGAAAAAATGAGAATATAAAATCAAAATAAAATTATATATTTTTCAGGAAATAATCTTCCACCAAAAAAAAAAAAATTAATAAGTTTAACATACCACATTGAAACGACTACTAAACTATCGAATTCCTCTCGTATCCAATCCTTACAATCCAAAATCCTCAATGCTCCCTACTTTGTTACAAATAAAACCATCCATAACGAATGTGTTTCTTATGTTTCTGATCTGATCCAATCCAGATATCTATCTATCCTTCCATAATAAACTTCAGAATCATCCCAACCCTCTCGTTTCTAACCTTGATTCCTCTTCCATTCCTGATAACCCACCGAGGAGTCTGAAAAGAAGATGGTCCCGTGATCCCCTAATGTAGACATATCATTGGAGTGCTACCATTGGGTAGTTACTCAACAAGTGTTTTCACGTCATTATATCCATATGTTCAAATTCACTAAATGTATTTCTTTAATACAATTGGAAATATCATTAAGAAATAAAAAAAAGAGTTTAAAAATAGTAGTATAGGTACATTTAATTATATGTATCGACCTATAACTCTTTCAAAATAAGTCAATGAAATTGAGGATATGCGATGTTTTTTTTTTCTCAACTTGAAAAATATATAATTTAATTTTCTTTTTTTTACTGATGAGTGAGTAAAGGATTTGTTTAATCAACAAATGTTACAACTGTGGCAAGAACCTAAAGGTAAGACACTTTTAAAACATAAAACCACCAGGTGCTATGGAAGAACAGTTCGCCGAGCCTTCCAGTTCTCCTAACGATATGCCTGGATATCCCCGAGGCCTCTAGCATAAAGTAGACGGGAAGATTACTGCCGGGGGGTAGGAACTAACGAGGAGGGACCCCGTTGTGTCGCAGCTGATAGCGCGGCGGAACATTTGTCCGAATACTAATCGCCTGGGCTAAGACAAACAATAGAGAGCGAGATATCTATCTGAGATCCGAGATAAATAGATATCTATGGCGAGCTGGCCATCTTACCTAAGGGCTCTGAGGCCATCGCTTGTTAGCGTCTTGACAAATCGTTCCTCTGGGACATTTAGCCAAGATTGATTAACCTCCCTCTGAACTAATTGATTCTCGAGAGCTCCAAGCAGTATCAGGTACCGCGCCTTGAATCTGTGTTACCCGTCTGTTCCCTCCAAGTACGGCATATGTCTTCGGGCCTCCAAGTTCTTCTTACCAGAAGAAGTTAAAAGGTTATACTATAGCAGTATAGGATACTCAAAAATACTCATGTTTTATTTTGAAGTTTTCGGTGATTTGCACCGTATGATATTCATACCCATGTAATTTTTTTTTTGTCCCCTCCTTCCTCGCCTTTTAGTATAAATTAACTATTTACAAGGTCCTCATTAAACTCCTTTGGACATATGGAATCGCGCCATGGGAAACAGCAAAGAAATCAAATTATCCAGTCATTCCAGCCAAAAGTCCTTCGGAAAATTGTAGACGCACCCTTTTATGTTTCATACCTCACGTTACACACTGACCTTAACACTCCTTTCATCACAGCAACTGCCACTGACTGCTTTAAGACTGACTCTAAATTCCAATCCACTTACTCAAGCTCTATCTACTGCCACAAATCCATATAATCCGCCCAGAAGACTGCTGAGGCGCTGGCCAAGAGACTTATTAAGTAGGCACTGAGATACTTGCTGTATTATCTTTTTTTTGTGTGTTATTATGTGTTAATTTACAACTGTTTTTTTGTTGTTTTTTTTTTTTTTTTTGTTTTGTTATTACTATTCTTTTTTTTTATGCTATAATTTATTCTCATTTATATCATATTTCCTGAATACTGAGGAAGATCACAAATTTATTGTGAGGCAGGAATATGTGTAACTAATAAATAAATTTAAAAAAAAATACTTATGTATGATATTTCTTTTATATATTTTTCTATTTTTTTTTCTTATTTATTTTGAAGCCCTTTACATTTATCTATATAACATACTTTACCGAAAAGAAGTTGGAAAAAAAGTTACAAGGGGTGGTATAATTACATTTTTCAATCATTCCAAAAGTATACACTTTTTTGTGATTTTTTATGATAAGGTTATTCAATGCTATTTATTATTATTATTTTATTTATTTATTTATCTGTTTACTTATTCTAATTCATTTCCTTATTATTTGTATATATGATTTGAATGTACAGCTTTAACCTTAGTACTTATTGATCTCCAATATGTATATACATAAAAAAAAAATTAAAATAAATAAAATAAAATATAAAAGCTATACTTCCTTTACTATATTTTTTACTTTTATACTTTTTACTTTCCTACTTATACTAGGTAAGGAAAGTATTTCGATTGGGTCAAATTTCTGATTTGCGGTTTTCGACGGATCTATACGTTTCAGAGCCCCCTGAGAAAACACATTTTTGGCCATTGGTCTCTCTGTCTGTGCCAAGATTTTCTCGGGAACTACTAAACCGATTTTTATGGACTGAATTCCCGAGAAAATCCAGGAAAAAAAGTTATAAAGAAAAGAAAAATATTATTGGGCCTAACTCCCTAAGTATATCTTATAAGGTAAAATAAAATAAAATCTATAATAAAACATTCGAAAGATAATTAAATTATCAACAAAACTAAAGAAAAATCCTCGGAATCGAAACAGTATTAGCGATGATACAGCTTATTCCATTTTTTACACATGTTACAACTTATTACTTTCCTACCTATACTAAACGCCGTTTAACCTTTTTTTTTAAAAGGTAATGAAGTTCCCTACAAAACTATATAAAAATTGTTCATTTTGGACAACTATTAAAGAAGTTACAGCTATTCAATTTCCAATGAAAGATTACGGGTTCATATCCTGGTGTCAGAAAGGGTTGAATGAGAGAAAAAATGTGGCTAAGTGAAAGTAAAAAAATCTGTTGCTCGCATCACACAAGCTTCACTATTTCCTCTACTTTTAAGAGAAATTATTTTCAGGAAAATAAATCTAATTCAATTTTTTTTTTGTTTCTTCATGCTCATGCTCACATGCTCATTTCATCTTAATGAGCATATGTAAACAAGATATAAAAAAGTTTCTGAAATAGCTAGGAAAGTCGTGTGAGTGGACACACAAGATTTTTTTAAACGCACTTAATGAGTTTTTGCATCGATAAATATGATCGAAATCCAATTAAGATATGTCCTTAAAAGTTTGGCTCCATTAAAAGATTATTTAGTTACTTTTTTTTTTTCAATAAACATACGATATGTAACCAATTGTAAACACAATCATCTTAATAATTATTTTCGTAAGATAATGAATTCCATGAGATAATTAATTCTGGCCGGTATTGCGGGGCGCATAAATAAACTCCGGAGGGAAGAAAAAAAAATTGTCATAAATATCTTTTAGAATCATTAGAGGCTGTGTTTTTTGCCCGTTCTCATTAGAAGACAGCCCCAGGTGCCGACTGGAAGAACAAAGTGGTCGGGTGGCTTATTGATGGTAGTCCGGGGTCCAGGTGACTTCGCCTTTGTCGTCGTTTTTGTCGGCCCGGGAGCGAGGCGCCTGCCTTACAGCGGGGGTCCTATCCGCCCAATTAAAGGCGGGGGTCTTCGCCTTTGGATAGCCCATGGGCCTATGGTGCTACCAATATAGCCATTATTATTAATAGCATACCCAAATGTATTACAAACATATACATTCATAGTACAATATCCTAATCGAGCAGGAGATTCCAAAAAAACTAGTAAATCTAGTCAGGATGTGCTTGACGGAGACACTCAATAAAGTTAGAATCGGTAATAATTTGTCCGAAAAATTTGAGGTTCGTTTGGGCTTAAAACAGGGGGATTCTCTTTCGCCTGTCCTGTTCAATTTGGCATTAGAACATGCCATTAGGGAGGTAATGCGAACCGAGAAAGGGTTGGATCTGGGCGGGACAACATCCGTGCTGGGCTATGCTGATGATCTGGTACTGTTAATCGAAGACGTTGAAACTATAAAACTAAATACGACAGCGTTAATGAAAGCCGGTAAAGAGCTAGGACTCGAAATAAACGTGGATAAAACAAAATATATGGTTAGCTGCAAAAATGGCGATACTACTGGTGATATCGATATAGATGGTAATATGTTTGAACAGGTAGATAAATTTAGGTATCTAGGTTCTACGATAACTAGAAAAAACGAAATTGAAGAAGAGATTAAGGTTAGACTGAAGGCGGGAAATGCTTGTTCTGTGACAAAACTACTTAGTTCGCGCCTCTTGTCCCGGAACTTAAAAATTAGAATCTATAAAACAATTATCTTGCCTACAGTTCTTTATGGATGCGAAACTTGGCCGCTTACATTAAGGGATGAGCAGCGTCTTAAGGGTTTTGAAAATAAAGTATTGCGTAGAATATTCGGACCGAAGAAGGATGAGTTAACCGGAGAGTTCAGACGGTTACACAACGCCGAATTGCGTGAGCTACAATATCCGGGTAATATAATTGAGGTAATTTCATCACGGCGATTCAAATGGGCTTGTAAAGTTGTTGAGCTTAATAACGAGAGAATTCCTAAAAGGTTAATATTTGCTGTGCCGAATGGTAAGCGTCCGAGGGGTAGACCGAAGCGAAGGTGAGAAGATTGCATTAAAGCCGATCTGAAGGGACTGGGTTTGGACGGTGAACGGTGGAGGGAGGTGTGTAACAAGCGATTGGTGGTGTCGGCATCGAAACTTCGGGTTCGCTAAGCCTTATTATTATTATTATTATTATACATTCATATTACAGAGAAACTAGAAAACTATATATGTTAGAAAATGATGTAGAGATGGTTGACCGTTGATATAATATGAGAAGGAGTTAGTCGAGGGTACGGTCAGACAAATACTAAATTAAAAAATAGTAATTATTTTATTTTAATTTTGCCGACGTTTCGACCCACTTTGCAGGTCGTCTTCAGGGCTACAAAAGATACAAAACATGTTGAGAATAAAAATTAAATATAAGTAGATATAAAATAAGAAGAAGTTGTCAGATACAGAAATAAAAGATGATATCAGAGATATAGTGGGTGACAATGTAGTAAAATATTAAGTATTATATATGGAGAAGATACAAATATATGGAAAATAAGTATAAATAAAAATAAAAATAAAGGAGAATATAGCATGTAAGTTAAAAGTAAACAGATTGCGATAAAAGATAAGGAATAAGTGTATAACAATTTAATAGAGAATACATGAGATAACTGTTGGTTTAACGGATAAATAAAATGAATGTCAACTAATAAATAGATTGAAAATTGAATAAGTAATGTTATTCATTGGTTGTTATTCATTATTCAACATTATTTATTCAATTTTTAATCTATTTATTAGTTAACATTCATTTTATTTATCTGTTAAACCCACAGTTATCTCATGTAATCTCTATTAAATTGCTATACACTTATTCCTTATCTTTTATCGCAATCTGTTTACTTTTAACTTACATGCTATATTCTCCTTTATTTTTATTTTTATTTATACTTATTTTCCATATATTTGTATCTTCTACATATATAATACTTAATATTTTACTACATTGTCACCCACTGTATCTCTAATATCATCTTTTATTTCTGTATCTGACAACTTCTTCTTATTGTATATCTACTTATATTTAATTTTTATTCTCAACATGTTTTGTATGTTTTGTAGCCCTGAAGACCACCTGCAAAGTGGGTCGAAACGTCGGCAAAATTAAAATAAAATAATTACTATGTTTTAATTTATTATTTATCTGACCGCAACCCCGACTAACTCCTTCTCATATATATGTTAGAGCTTTAAAACACAGAACACGATAGGTTCGTTTTGAAATAGAAATTCACCACTTACCTATAAAATTCCCTTTCATCGTCTTTTACCTCATCAAAATCCATCGTTCACGAGAGCCTTAAAAGAGATCTATACAATTGTACGAATCACTTATTTCCAAAGTAAATCCTAATCGATTTTTGTGGAAATTGAGATAAGTATCGATTCCTTTATAAAAATACCCAATGAATCCCATAGTATGATTAGTTTTGGTTTATTACTTTCAATAATAAACAATTGTGATCGACCAAAAAATTCCAAAATTTAACCCCTTCTCAAAATTTGAGGTCAACCGTCCACCGTCCCGAGCATTTTCTCTGAAACTCCTGAACCGATTTTTTTCAAATTTGGATATAAAATCAGAGCTCTCCCGAGGATGATCCTCCTTCATCGACATTACTATCCGACTTTTATTTTCAACATGGCGGCCGAAAAACCTGTGTGGCTATAGACTGTAGCGCCTATACGAATATACAGATTTCAATGAAATTTCGCTAAAGTCATTTGTCGTTAGATGTTTTTTTAAAAGTTTAAATTTCCTAGAAAAAAATTTAAAAATCATTTAAATCTGACAATTAAGAGTAAAGATACGGTCTCTAGTTTTTTTTTATATGTTCTACTGCAAATGTTACATCTTTTGTTTCGATTTTTAAATTTTGAATGTGTTACTGAAATAATGCTTTATTATTTTTTTTAGCATATTACTAATGAAAAAAAAAAGTTTAGTCCAATAATTGGAATCAAATTTTATTTATTTTTCTTTGCGACTAGGAAGGTAATGTTGCTTTAGATATATAATTGTTTGGAAATAATAAACCATTGTAAAATAATTTGCAGGGTTTTTTTTTTTTTTTTTTTTTTTTTAAACCATCCTAAATATTTAAAAAAATGTTCAGTGAAAATAAATGTCTTTCCATTTCCAAAAAAAGGCTTCTTTTCAAGAGATGTGATGAAATTTATATTTCTTTAGCATCCATAAAAAATCATTTAAAGCTAATTGAACCGATTTATTCTATTGAAAATTTAAAATAAAATAATTTAGTTATATCATTATCGTAAACAAAAATATAATTTTTTATTTTGCAATTATTATAGCTATTTTCTCGCCGAAGCATACACAATTATTCTCTCCAAACAAGGGTCTTTTTAAAGGATCTTGAAGTTTATTTCTTTCCAAAAAGGACCCTATTTAAGTTTCATTATTTTTAAATTACTACTAGAATAATCGATGATTTTCTATACGTTCCACAAATAACAAATTCTTAACTTGTTTTTTTTAAATGTTGGTTTTGATACTAAAATCGTAATGGAATACATAATTGTTCATGTTTCCTGAAAAATTTCAGAAAAATGATTAGATTCACTTTGGAAATAGAATACTCAAATCGTGCAGATTAGTGTTGCGCGAATGCTAGACCAAGTCTTGGTCCTGCGTACTCCGTCTTCCTCTAGGTCTTGGTCTTGCGCAAGAGTCTCGCAACAGTCTTGCGTTTACCTATTAGCTTATTACTATAGAGATATTACCGTAATTTTTTATAAAGCAGGAACCTAAGCCCGAATGAAAAATTAGAAGAGTTAAATGCAAAAGTATATTGGTTATACCAATTCTTTAAATATAGTAACTAAAATTGTCAAGTATTAGTAACTATTTTATCTTAATTTTTATTTAAAAAATCGATTATTCTGTTATTCTTGGTCTTGGTCTTGCATTACTTAAACGGTCGTGGTATTGGTATTGCGACCAATTTTTGGCAACACTACTGAAGATATAGAAAATTTTTCTGAAAATTGACCATACTTTATTAATAATTTTGCTTCTATATTTTGTTCTACAACATGCGAGACCAATCCCTTTTTGGTTTGTGTTCCCACATTGCCATTTAGTTTATAATTGTTTGAAGTCGGTACTATCTGCAAAGAGTAATCTTTTAATTATCGTCCTTGTTGAATATTAATGAGAGAAGGGAAGTCGGCGATTGTCTTAATTATTAGCTTCTATAATGTCACAGGTCCTTCGTTTGAGCTGAGTACCTACACCACCTACCTCCTAAACCACACCCGTCGTTCGTGTAAGTAGCTTCGTGTATGTCTGAGACGTGTGCTATACTAAATGGGTTGATGAGAGAAAGATTATAAATTACGAAATAGAAGATAATTAGATCATCGTAGAAAGCGGCGAAGATGTCAAAATAATGCATGATTTATGAAACAAACAAAATATAAAATATCTATAAACCCAAAATATATGTGTGCGTGCGTGTCCTTATGTGGCCCGCTACTTCTCGTATATAGAGAAGCAAATTGAGCTTGAAACAAAAAGAAAACATTAATTTTAAGCGTATATAGGTGTGCTTGTGTTTTTTGCTTAGTTTTAATTTTCTTATTCTTAGGTTATTTTATTTTATTTATTATATATAGTTTTTGATTATTATTTATTGTCATTTTGCTTCTATTTATTTTATATTTTTGTGCATATAGTGTGAATGTTATCCTACCTCACTATAATTAGTGTCCGTGTGACAGATTGTTATAATAATAAATAATAAAAAAAAATTAAAATTATCATCATATTTATGAAATTATCACGGGAACTTTTATTTTCGATAGCTTTTTAGGTCCTTTGTAACCAGAATTTTTTCTCTGGCAAAATTTCAAGTAAAGATTTTACAGAACAAATGTAAAACTTTTCGATTTTGCTAAAAATACAATCTAAGAAATTCATTTATTGTTTTGTTGGCTCTACCCCGTAGAGCATTGGCAACACATTAAAATTACACTCTGTTGCTCAAAATCG